AGGCTTGAGATTGTTTCTAGTTATTGTGGAATGGAAGAGACATAGCTTTTGTCTTCTTACAACTTTTCAAGTAATTTGTACATAAATAGAAGATTTTTATCGTCCACATTTATGGTACAAATATGTTTTATAATTGGGTAAACTTGCAGTTAGACTTTATTAATGTTGGATACCCATAGATATCCGTCAATAATGAGAGCCAAATACAAGGTCAGGTGAACACGAAAGCGCTTGGGAACTTCGTGTTTTCTTCTTTCCTTGTGGTTATCAGCATATATATATATATGTGTATGTATATATATATATATATATATATATATATATATATATATATATATATATATATATATATATATATATATATATATATATATATATATATATATATATATATATATATATATATATATATATATATATATATATATACTCTTGTATACTGTATATGTGTCGGACAAGTTCATCTCACGTTGTTATGTTACCGTTTAGCCATCACAAGATACACAGTCCCTCATATAATATACTATATAGGTTATTTCATCGGTCGAGGAAGCCAGTTGAGAGGCTTCACATGACCTGTTTACCTAACACTGCGCCTCGTCAGACAGCCTGTGTTGCTCACCCAAGAGTATCACCACCGATCCTCGTCTTGAGGTGATGACCTATATGATTACTCAAGCAGGACAATTATGGCCTTTATATGTTGTGGAAGTAATCCGAGAACAAGACCATCAGATATCTTACATAACCACATTTTTAGCTCCATGCAATCCCCATACGACTACAAAGTAAGTTTATAGAATACAATAATAGAACATATTAAGAACATTATTATGAACATAGTAAAGGCTGGCCAATCTTAATACCTAACATTCTTAAGTGAGGAGCCACTAACTTTCTGCCTGAACATAAGGGTTACCCTTTAACTGTCACTACGGGACGACACTTAGTACTTTATTTGAATGCCTCCCGACGATTTTATTCAGCACAGAGAGACAAGTTTAGGTTAGGTTAGGTTAGGTTATTCAGCATAGAAAAACAAGGAGTTGATTTAATACACAATTTTTTCCCATGTGGAAATAAATATTAAATATTTATAAATAATGCGTCAGAATATAATTAAATAAATCTAATTTTTTCTGGTAAAATTCTCTCTCTCTCTCTCTCTCTCTCTCTCTCTCTCTCTCTCTCTCTCTCTCTCTCTCTCTCTCTCTGATCCTTGGTTTCAGCTAAATGGGCTTTGGTCTTTCAATAGAAGTGCTGTCATCTTGGTGCTTAGCCTCGGTGTAGTGTACAGACTGGGGTCTACTTTGGGGCATAAAAGATCATACGTGAGTACAGTCATTGTTTCACTGACTAGACGCACGATCGCCCCGTCAAACTTGAATGTAAGTGTGAAATATTACTGAAATTGTCTTGTCACTGAGGCGGTGTCATAATGCACATATACAGCATTACGTCTCTCTTCTATAGGCGTCTTGTTGTCATCTTCTATACCGCATGTTCCTTCTTCATGAATTATATCTGTGACTAACTCTATCTTTGCTGGGCCACGCCTGTTACTTCCCTATACTGTACATTACAAATAGTGTGGACATGTTTGGGGACTATTTGTGTGTTTAAATGTTCTTGTCACGCCATTATTACAAGAATAAAGTTGATGTTGTTCATCTGTCTTTAGGTCGCCCAACGGGAGAGATCTGCTGATACATTTATTGGTAACATATAATTATTTTTAATGAATTATATAAAGAGTTTTAGGTTTGGGAGACCAAGTAGTACAGCAAAAAGAGTTGTTGAGCAGTAGGCACCTCAGTGTCAGGACGTTAACTATAATTTGTGTTTTTTATTGTTTCTGACACAGGGAGGAAGAACGGTACTTACTCTTATTTATTATACTGATATTGTGTTGGCACTCGACCTGACTACACTAAGATCAAGTTGTTGTCGGTCATTAATAATTGTATTTGTTTGACAATTGTTACATTATTGCAGGTCTCGGTAATCATCGTGCTCCATCGTGGCTGAGATATAATGCTATTCTCTTTTAACTCCGCCTCTGTATTGACCTTCTTAACGACCCAATTCTCCTCCAATATTTATGTTGCCCAAACTTTGTTAATTAACATCACTGCTCTTGTTAATTATTGCCATTGTTAGTTTGTGGTGTTATTATTAACTCAAATATTAGTTGATAACTTATAATTTATGATGGTTTACAGAAACATGGTGTAATACTGCCCACTACACAGTCACCAGGGACTCTCTCCAGCTCATTTAATACTGAGTAAATCCCGCCACTTCATTAACTCACTGGACTAACTAAGGATTTATATTGTTACATTTATTAATAACAATGACGTGTATGATGGTCATTATTTCTTGTATCCTTTAAGCTTGTCCTGGCCTCCAGCCGTAAAGGAGCTCAAGATTAATTTTTCCTGCACATACTATCGCCAACCATTATTATTTCTCGACGAAACTACGATTATACAATTTCATTAAAAAATCAAATGTAAGACATCGACTAACTTTGTAAACTTTGAAGGCATTATAAACCATTTATGTTGTTTATCATGCAGAAGATTAGGAAGAGATTCTAAAGTAAAATACACTGCATGTTGACACACACACACACACACAATACTACTACTACTTCTACTACTACTACTACTTCTACTACTACTTTGCTGTCTCTCGGAATCCAATATGACGATCGTCCAGCTATAATACAATGATACGAGTTATTAGGGATGTCACCTAGGTTGGTGAGTTTTGGGGTGATTAAAGAGGCCGATACGGGACCCGCAGGGTCGTTCACATTCGTTGTACATGTGGAGGGCTGCATCTAGTGCGGGAGGGGTTGTGGCAACGGCTTTTCGGCGTTGGCGCTTGTCTGCCTCGGTTTACAATGTGGAGTAATCGACTCCCAGGTGAGGGGGTCGATTTGGCAATTTTTCAGGTTTGTCTTAAGACTATCCTTATATCTTTTCAATTCCCCGCCGGCGTTACGTTTACTTTTCGTTAGGTGACTGTAAAGTAGATGCTTTGGCAGTCTACTGTCATCCATGCGGATAACATGGCCAGTTCGAGCGTAGCTGCTCATGGATAATGGTAGCCTCGATGCTCCTACAGTTGGTGTCAGCAAGAATACTGGCATTTATTCTCTTGTTTTCCCGGCAAACTTGGAGGATGGAATGTAGACTACGTTGGTGAAAGTTTTCAAGTGCCTTGAGGTGCTTCCTAGAGGTGACCCATGTCTTACTGCCATATAACAGGGTGGGGAGGACCACTGTTCGATATACATGCAACTTTGTAGATAATTTCAGCTCCCTACAGCAGAAGACATGGTTTCGCAGCCCATCATAGGCTTGAGATGTACATCTGATCCGGTGCTGAATCTCTTCATTGAAGTCTGCGGTGGTGGACAGGTGGGAGCCGAGATGCCGAAAGTGGGTAATATTAGAGAAGGTAGTACCGTTAACCTGGATGGATGGTGGAGGTGTGTCTGAACCTGGGGAAGACTGTAAGGGAGTCTGAGTCTTACGTACATTCACCTTAAGGCCGAAGTACGCATACGCATCTGTGTAGGTGTTTAGGATCTCCTGTAGGTCGTGCTTAGTGTGAGCAACAAGGGTGAGGTCGTCTGCATACTGAATTTCAGTAACGGAAGCTGCTGACACTTTGTTCTTGCCTAGAATAGTCTTATGTTGAAAAGACCCTCCTTCATCCAGTACTCGATGTCCATCACGCCGGCTAAATTGGCACTGGCACGAGTATGGAAGGCAGCCAAGAAAATGGAAAAAAGAGATGGTGCCAGTACACACCCTTGTTTAATCCCTGTTTGGATGGGGAAGAACTCAGACTGGGTGCCATCGTGAGGGACACTGCCGTTCATGCCCTCGTGGAGTTGACTGACAATGGCGATGAATTTTGGTGGGCAGCCAAAACGGCTGAGGGTCCGCCAGAGGTCTTCCCTGTTGACTGAGTCGAAGGCCTTGGTTAGGTCGATGAAAGCCATGTACAGGTCAAGATGCTGTTCTCTGCACTTTTCCTGTATCCGGCGGGCAACAAAGATCATGTCAGTAGTGCCACGTGATGGACTAAAACCACATTGAGATTCTGGGAGGAAGTTTTCTACCTCAGGAAGGAGTCTGTTTAGGAGGACTCGGGCGATAATCTTGCCACCTACAGAGAGCAGCGAGATCCCACAGTAGTTGCCACAGTCTGACTGGTCTTCCTTGTTCTTATAAATACTGATAATGAAAGCGTCTTTAAGAGCTTAGGGGATTTCCTCCTTTTCCCAAAAGTTCGCCAGGAGAGAGTCGAGACGGCTGGTAAGCAGAGGTCCTCCTGCTTTATACACCTTGGTTGGGATTCCATCAGGACTTGAGGCTTAAAAATTTTTCGTCTGTTTGATGGCAGTAACTACCTCATCCAGGGATGGAGGATAGCTGAGGTGGCTCACCTCTGGATGCTAAAAGACCTGCTGGATAGTCAGGACATCCACATGGAATTGAAAAATTCGCACATCTTGTGCTGAGCTGCATGCTTTCACATGCTTTATTTTTAAGCCATTCATTCTTTAGAATGCAAAGTTCCCGCTGGGCTGCCCCTTTCTTCTTGCAGAAGGTATCAGCTTTGGTCCAAGACTAAGGGTTGTTCTGCCCAGTCAGTAAAAGCAGCACGTTTATTATCGATGAGCACTTTGATTTCTTAATTTTCATCAAACCAGTCCTGGTGTATTCTTTTGATCTGGCCGAGGGTCTCTACAGGTTTTTGTCATAACAGAGTTTAGAGTATCCCATTCGGCACTGAAATTCGCGTTGTTTGCTGTTGGGTTGTTTATAAGCCCATGTTCGAGCTGCTCTCTAAAAGCATGAGGTACTGCTGGGCCCTCCAGAGGCTTAGTATTAAAATCTCTTCTGGAGGCTTGCTGCCTTGTCTGTTTTGGGGCGACGTGAAGTGAGAGCTTGGCTCTGACAAGTCGATGATCAGTGTTATAGTGGTCTGAGCCACGCATGGCCAGCGTGGACTGGTAGTGGGTAAGACTCCATGGCAAGGAGCCAGCGTGGACTGGTAGTGGGCAAGACTCCATGGCAGGGAGCCAGCATGGGCTGGTAGTGGGCAAGACTCCATGGCAGGGAGCCAGCGTGGACTGGCAGTGGGCAAGACTCCATGGCAGGGAGCCAGCGTGGACTGGTAGTGGGCAAGACTCCAGGGCAGGGAGCCAGCATGGACTGGTGGTGGGCAAAGCTCCAGGGCAGGGAGCCAGCGTGGACTGGTAGTGGGCAAGACTCCATGGCAGGGAGCCAGCGTGGACTGGTGGTGGGCAAGACTTCATGGCAGGGAGCCAGCGTGGACTGGTAGTGGGCAAGACTCCATGGCAGGGAGCCAGCGTGGACTGGTGGTGGGCAAGACTTCATGGCAGGTGTAATGAGTGATTGTCAGACCAAACCTTACAGCCCAGAATTATGTCACATATAACAGCAAGTACACCACAGACCTCGTGGTACCACCGCATTCCAGGTTGACACACCTCAGGTCGACCCTAGGGACTTGACCTGGCCCGCTAATGACGTGAGCCGGTGACCTACAACCGCACCTAGCCAAGACACCTGGCCAGGACCACACCTGCACACAATTATCCAGATCAAACCAGTTTAGTGTTAATTGTTAGAGGTCAGAAGCCGGCTGGGCCGACCCCATATAAAGGCCCTACAGTCCCGTCCACGGGCATTCCTATTCCATTATCATTATCATTCTGGTTGCTGTCATCTCTCTCCCGTTCGGGTCGTCACTCAGTTCACTAAGCAGAGTCACGCACGTCCCCTCCCCAGGTCGGGAGGGAGACCTCCTGACCGGACCACGGCGTCGCCAGCTAAGCAGACTTTCCCATAGGAGGTAGCCCAGCCAGCACTCACTGGGCCTACGTCAGGGTACACGTGAGTCTTGTCAGAACGTCCTAGGGTGAGTTACCTACTGTAGGAAGTGTATTCATTCAGGTGTGTCCGAGAGTCAGTGTCAAGTAACGTAAAGCATAATGTGTTAGTACCCCGATATAATAGTGATATTAATGTGTCCATGTCATTGAGTGAATTAATAAATAGTTGTATCAAGAGGTGTTTAACAAGTTGTCCCTTTAAGAAGTGATATATGTGTATTGACATACGAGATAAGATAAGCGTAGTGACGCTGTGCAAATAACATCCAGGCCACGCTACCAAGTTTCCTACCTTTACATTCCTACTCTCTATACTTCCTACTTATGTATGTAATTCTCTCATTGTGTTTACCCTCATTACAATGGTGTCAGCGTACTTAACGTAACTCACGCCCTCCCCCGTTAGCCATAACACCTGGCTCGTTAGTTCAAAAGTGCGTAATAAGAAGTTCCTGCGTAGTAGCGTGAAAAGTGTCCTAGTGTGTCATCTTTACAGCTCAAGTCAATGTCTCTCGTCGTGATATGTGCGAATTTTTGATAGAAATATGTTCAGTGCTTAACGTAATTTCTCAGTGTCACCCGCTATCTGTGGCATTCTCAGTAGCCCAAGTGCAGTTTGATTGTTGGTCAGTGTTGAATGTAGCCATTGTGTTTCAGTGATGAAAGCGGTGTCTGTACTAACTGTTATAACTTAACATGTCTTTTAACCTACATCCTCCTCCCTGTCCTAATCCTTACCTCACCCTCCTTACCCTTCCTCCCATCCCTGCCCCTCCCCGCCCCGCGAAGCCTCGGTTTGGCCCGATCAACCACGCCTCGGCTCCTCCCCACCTCACCCGCAACGCACCAGCCTGGCTGGGCCTGGCCAGCCTCGCCTCGCCCCGCGCCGCCCCGCCTCGCCCCACCCCGCTCGGGTGACCTCACGTCCTTCTGACCCGCCCCGCCGCTTGACCACACTAATCCCCCGTCTTTTGTCCCGTAAGCTGTGTGTTGTTGATGATGGTTAATATAAAGTAATATTGCGATGAATGCAGAGCTTCACTCAGTGTATTTTTATGCTATTATGATTTGTGATGTACTCTTTGACGCGCAGTGATAAATGATATTCAGTGTAGTGCGCAGAGCTTCACTCCCCGACCCAGCCTGATGAGAACATTGTCGGGACGGAAATGATAGTTGCCAAACATTGACCTAACATATAAAGTAAACTTTTTTTTGGCGAATGCACTTCCAACTAATCCATCACCCCTTTAGGATTGTTTCTCTGTCAAATGTCACACACAGTACCACCCATGGCCAGCCGGACGTCAACCACAGTACATACGAGCAGAGAAGAACCAGCATGATGAAAGCAGCGTGATGAATGCAGCTTGATGAAGGCAGCACGAAACCCACCACACACCACGTCACTTCTTTCAAGTCCTCCCTTGGTATAGGATTAAGAAGATTTTATATTTTTCTGCTTTAGGAAGTAAGGAGTGTGGAATGGATCGCCACACAACGAACCTTGGTGAGCCCAGCCAGGGAGGGATTCACCACTGTGGAAGGTGTAAGACAGGACGGTCTTTGGTCTCGCCGACACTCACGTACGGAGGGCGAGCCCTGGTCCGCGGAACCTGCCTTACGAGTCATCTAAGGAGACGACAGCCCAAACAGTGGACCGGCTTTCATCCCGGCCGGAGAGGGCCGACGGCAGATGAACAGAAAATCGTCTGGAATATGTTGAAAATGATGATGTTGCAGAGAAGAAATGCAGATGAAGCAGAAAAATTCATCTGGAATAGGACGGAAAACGAAGATGTATAAAGAAACTCAGATGGAGCAGAAAAATTCATCTGGAATATGAAAATGAAGATGTATAGAGGAAGAACGCAGATGGGACAGAAAACTCGTCTGGAAGAGTATAGAAACCAGGAGGAAGTGAGAAGAAGTCAGAAGGTGTGGAGAAACGACCTACAAGGTGCGGTATGTGAAGAAAGAAGACAGAAGATGTGTTATGTGAAGAAAGAAGACAGAAGATGTGCTGTCCTGACATCACAAGAAAGTCGATGATGAAGGACCAACCGACTACAGCTGCTGAGCTGCCGCCATCCCTTATTTTTCAGATACCAGCTGGATGGAAGACGTGAGCTATGCCGGACCCAACTAATGTACTGATGTTGTTGATGTATAATAAAAAGATATCAATACCCTAATATGTGAAGTAGGAACATTTTTTGTGTATTTTGAAGTATTTTCTCTGATTTTGTTGATGTTTACTACAAAGAATGTCTTTTTTTAGTCTCACTTTTTCTATGAGTTCATTTGATCAATGTCTTGGACTATGAAACACGATGTTGTAGCTATATTACTGACGGAGATGAATTATTATTTTGACATGGGCTGATAAGGAAATGTAACACCTGTTGTTGTTTGTAGAATGTGATTTGCAAGGTTGCCTCGGACACTATGCTACATATGAAGGATTTTTTCATTCTATGCTATGTTTCCTTTTTCTCCTGGCATAGAAGCTTTGATCTTGGCGGGAGGTATAGTGAGCTTTGTCAGATCAAACTAGCGCCAGTAGAAAAACATACACCTATGAGATTGTTGTTTGTAAATGTGAGACTATGTTATCGCCCCAGGGATTATCTTTGATACCACACGTGATGTTGCTGTCTATATGTGACATCAGTCTCTGTGATGAAGCTTTGGTCTTGGCGGGAGGTGTAATGAGTGATTGTCAGACCAAACCTTACAGCCCAGAATTATGTCACATATAACAGCAAGTACACCACAGACCTCGTGGTACCACCACATTCCAGGTTGACACACCTCAGGTCGACCCTAGGGACTTGACCTGGCCCGCTAATGACGTGAGCCGGTGACCTACAACCGCACCTAGCCAAGACACCTGGCCAGGACCACACCTGCACACAATTATCCAGATCAAACCAGTTTAGTGTTAATTGTTAGAGGTCAGAAGCCGGCTGGGCCGACCCCATATAAAGGCCCTACAGTCCCGTCCACGGGTATTCCTATTCCATTATCATTATCATTCTGGTTGCTGTCATCTCTCTCCCGTTCGGGTCGTCACTCGGTTCACTAAGCAGAGTCACGCACGTCCCCTCCCCAGGTCGGGAGGAGACCTCCCGACCAGACCACGGCATCGCCAGCTAAGCAGACTCTCCCATAGGAGGCAGCCCAGCCAGCACTCACTGGGCCTACGTCAGGGTACACGTGAGTCTTGTCAGAACGTCCTAGGGTGAGTTACCTACTGTGGGAAGTGTATTCATTCAGGTGTGTCCGAGAGTCAGTTAACGTAAAGCATAATGTGTTAGTACCCCGATATAATAGTGATATTAATGTGTCCATGTCATTGAGTGAAGTAATAAATAGTTGTATCAAGAGGTGTTTAACAAGTTGTCCCTTTAAGAAGTGATATATGTGTATTGACATACGAGATAAGATAAGCGTAGTGACGCTGTGCAAATAACATCCAGGCCACGCTACCAAGTTTCCTACCTTTACATTCCTACTCTCTATACTTCCTACTTATGTATGTAATTCTCTCATTGTGTTTACCCTCATTACACAGGGAGCCAGCGTGGACTGGTAGTGGGCAAGACTCCATGGCAGGGAGCCAGCGTGGACTGGTAGTGGGCAAGACTCCATGGCAGGGAGCCAACGTGGACTGGTAGTGGGCAGGAACTCAGGGCAGGAGCCAGCATGTGGACTGGTGGTGGGCAGGCTCAGGGCAGGGAGCCAGCGTGGACTGGTAGTGGGCAAGACTCAGGGCAGGGGAGCCAGCGTGGACTGGTAGTGGGCAAGACTCCAGGGCAGGAGCCAGCATGGACCTGGTAGTGGGCAAGACTCCATGGCAGGGAGCCAGCGTGGTCTGGTAGTGGGCAAGACTCCATGGCAGGGAGCCAGCGTGGTCTGGTGGTGGGCAAGACTCCATGGCAGGGAGCCAACGTGGTCTGGTGGTGGGCAAGACTCCATGGCAGGGAGCCAACGTGGTCTGGTAGTGGGCAAGACTCCATGGCAGGGAGCCAGTATGGATTGCGGAATATGGAGTATGATAAGGGACAGTTTCATGATTTTTCATTGCATTATTTATCTAGATGTGTATCGTCAAAATTATAAACTTAATAATTACTCACAATCTCATAGTACTTGCAAAGTTCTCTGAGACTTGTAAAAAGTTTACACTTATTCTCACTCACTCACTAACTAAGGCCCGGGTTGAAAGAGATAAGTTTTCATAGAATTGTTGTATAAAGTCATTAGTGTTATGATAAGCTCCGGTGTTCTACTTTTACCATCAGTCAAGTTTGATGTGTGACGATTGAAGTTCTCATTACTGATTGGCTGGCGTTCTTCTCCTTGCACCAAATAACCCCAATTTCACTGCTGCAGGTCGCGCTACAACACATTTACTCCTTAACAATACTCTGACAGATAAGTGATTTTTACGATGGAATGACTGGCAAATGTCCTTAT